TTCAAGTTCACATCATAATATTAGTTTCATGGATAACTTATTTACCTGCATCCGTCCGTAATGTGAGAAGATTTGCTTATTTGACACAAAACCAATGTGTCGATGTAGTGGCCCTTGCACCATTTTCACTGTATTTAGGTCATACAACGCATCGCTTCCAGGGGATGAACTAGCATTTACATAATAAATCAAAAGATTTATGTCATCATTTTTTGATAAAATTTACGTTGGTTGTCGACTACCTAACGCAACCCCCCACTTTTCACATATGGGGCTTGGGACCCAACAATGGCAGTGATGAAATATTCTCAACCATAAAAGAAAGGTTTTCCTTCATGGAAAACCAATTTGAGGGTCTGGAGAAGATGATGGGGAGGCTTATTGAGATACAATCCAAAATCCCATCAGTATTTCAAACTGCAAAAACATCCCCCAAAAGTTTTGATGAGGGGTGGATTAAGGATTTCCGTTGGAGGGGGATGTGCCAAAACAGTGGGAATTGATTATGCAAGAGAAGGGGAAGTTGGGATGGAGATGCTAGGATTAGGAAGTTGAAGATGTCAAATTTTATGGGGAAAGACGTACATGGTTGGGTGCACCGGATGGAACAATATTTCATGATGAATAAGCTAAAGGAGAAGGAAAAGTTCATGGCCAGAGGGTTATGTTTAGAAGGGAAAGCCCTAACATTTTTTTAGTGAAGGGAGTTTAGATACCCGATGAACTCGTGGGAGGAATTTAAGAATTGATTGTTAGAACGTGTCCGAGCCATTCAAAAAGGAGACTTGCATAGAGTAATTCTTTGCCTTGGCTCAAGAGTGGATCGTGTAGTTTGGGGAAAATTTTGAATTATTGTTGGGAAAGCTGAGGAGGATTTTTGAAGCAGAGGAAAATTTCATTAGGAATTATATTTCCGGTTTGATGAGAGTATGCATCAGGTTACCAATGCAAGGATTACACGCTCCACGCCTTTACAATTTGTGATGGGGAGGAGTTAGCGAAAAGTTGGAGGAAGAAGCGGTGGAGGGAGAGGAGCACTTACATGTTCATTTAGCGGAGTTGTCACTCAATTCAGTGGTAGGATTTACTCCAAATCACACCATAAATGTGAGGGAAAAGATAGGAGACTAACATGTAGTAGTGTTGTTTGATAATGGGGCCACTCAACTTCTTCTCAAATCAGATCGTGGACCAGTTGGAGTGTAAGTTGGTAAATATAGAAAGTTTTGGGGTCATGATGGGGGCTAAGAAGGTGGCAAAAAGTCGAAGAATTTTTAGAGGATTGGTGCTGACATTGCTAAGCATACAGAAGGTGAAGGAATTCCTTCCCTTAGACTTAGAAAGTACTGATGTGATTATAGGGATGAAGTGGCTATAGATGATCAGAGAGAAAATGGTGGATTAGAAATCCCTGACCATTGAGATAAGGGTAGAAGAGAGGATTGTGGTGCTGAGAAGAGATGCTAGCTTGTACAGAACCATGGCCTCACTCAAAATCATGGTCAAGACAATATGGGGAGCAGTATTGAGCTATTTGGTGGAGTTGTAGAGTCTAGAAGAGATTCAATATACAGAGTCAATAAAGTTTCCCAAGTGTGTTCAGCAGTTTTTACAGCAGTTTTCTGACATCTCTTTCGGCCGCCTAGTTGGTTACCACCAGCGAGAGAGCACGAGCATGCCATTGCATTGAAGGAAATGGTTCCTCCTATAAGTATCAGACCATACTAGTATCCTCAGATTCAGAAGCATGAGATGGAGATGTTGATTAGGGAGATGCTTGAGGCAGGGATTATCGGGTCCAATATGAGTCCTTTTACTAGTCCAATCGTATTGGAGAAGAAAAAGAAGGGTGGTAGCTAAAAGTTTTGTGCATTACACGACTCTAAACAAGGAAATTATACTGAACAATTTTGTTATTCTGGTGATTGATGTCTTCATGAGTTTTTTAGAGCAATCATCTTCTCGAAGATTGATCTGAAGTCGAGATACCATCAGATCAGGAATAAGCCAGCAGATGTGCACAATATAACTTTCAGAACTCATGAAAGATATTATGAGTTTTTTGTAATTTTATTTAGTCTAGCCAACGCTCAAGTCACATTTTAGTATCTCATAAACAAGATTTTTTAGCTTTATCTCATGAAGTTCATACTGGTGTTTTTTTGATATCTTGATCTACAGTCGTACGGAGGCAAAGCATATGAGACACCTGAGAACAATATTTTAGACTTTGAGAGAGCATCAACTGTGCATCAATCTAAAAAAAAATGCTCCTTTGCATGGCCGCAAGTGGAGAACCTAGCGCTTGTGATGACCATAGCAGGGGTAAGAGCACACCTGTCTAAGATTGATGCTATGTTGGACTAGTCTTTGCATAAAAACTTGAAGGAGTTGAGAGGTTTCTAAGGACTCACCAGATATTATTGAAAATTGATGAGAGTATGGCATATTATTGCATGGTTGTTGACGGAGCAGCTGAAGAATGTAGTTTCAAATGGGGGGAAGTAGAGAGACATGCCTTCAAACAATTAAAGAGGGGCATGACTAGTGTGTCAATATTAGTACTTCCAGATTGTAACAAGCCATTTGTGATAGAAATGGGTGTTTCAAGTTATGGATCGAGTGCATTACTCTTACAGGATCAACAACTTATTGCGTAAAAAGAAGAAGTCCATTTCCAAGTGGAAGTTGATGGCTATTGCCTTGGCCATTTAGAAGTTGCATTCCTCTCTATTGGGGCAACACTTTAAAGTTAGGACAAATCAGAGGAGCTTGAAGTATTTATTGAAGCAAGGATGCTGCTAAGGAGCATCGGAAGTGATTATCAAGCATACTTGGATATGAATTTGAGATCCAGTATCGCCCAGGGTTAGAGAATAAGGCTGTGAATGCACTATCAAAGAAAGTGGAGGAGCCCCAACTAACAACTTTATTAGTACCCATGGTTTTAGATTAGGAAGCATTGAGCCAGCAGAGTAAACATGATAAGAGGCTGAGAAAGATCGGGGTAGAGTTGCTACAGGATCCGGAGAGTCATCCAAGATATGATTTAGGGGACAACAACTACTCTATCAAGGATGATTTGTGTTACCAAGGCATCAAGGTACATCTCCAAACTGTTCCATGAGTTTCATGTCAATGTGATTGGTGGCACTCAGGGTCACAAAAGACAGACAATAGGCTGTCGATAGCTCTAAATTGGGTGGGGATGCAGAGAGATGTAGAGAACATGAAGGCGAGATAGCGTTGTGTGCCAACAACACATATATTTTACTATGGCACCGGGAGAGTTACTATAACCCCTAGCTTTACCTGAGAAGGTTTTAGAGGTTGTCATGATCAGAGAGATTTACTATGATATTGGCGGTAGTTGATTGCTTGAGCGAGTAGCACATTCCATTCCATTGTGATAACCTTACAATACTATCTCAATCGCTATTGTGCTATTACGAGAAGTGATTCGTTTGCATGGCCTTCCTCAGCCATCTCTAGAAGGAACTATTCAAATTATGAGGGACAACCCTAAAGAGGAGTACAACATATCATCCCCTAATAGATGGCCAGACGGAGGTGATCAACAGAATTGTAGAGACGCACCTCCGTTATTTTGTATCAGATACGTCGAGGCATTGAGTAAAGTAGATTGCTTGGGTTGAGTAGTAGTATAATACTCATACCATGTTCAGCACAGATCACTCCTTCATTGTTTTGTATGAACGGGATCCACCTCACATTATATATTATGGGAATAGCACTACACCAGTATACAATGTAGACCAATACTGAGGGCTCAACAGATCATGATGATGAAGGCTGATGGAGAAAGTAGGGAGTTATAATTTATTTGAGTCCGAGGACATGGTTTATTTAGACTTGAGACCTTAACGACATAAGAAACTGATCAGGAGGAGTGATAAGATTTCCTCTCTATATTTTGGACCATATGAGATGGTGGCATGCATTAAGGCAGTGGCATACTGTCTGAGGTTAGCAGCATCATCATCATTGCATCTAGTATTTCAGGAATCACAGTTGAGGCGTGCTATTGAAGACCACACAATCACATCTTTACTATCTCCGACGCTGATAGAGGACAAGGAGGTGGTTTTGGAATCTTTGGACGTAGAAGGGGCACGCCTAGATATGACTAAGGCAAAGGAGGTGTTAATTAATTAAAAAGGTTTGCCAAATTATGAAGCAACTTGGGAGCTTAAGAAGTGATCCAAAAGTAGTTTCCAACATTCCACCTTAAGGACAATGCACTTCATTAGGACGGCAGTATTTTTACGTCAATTTTTTCTTGACTGGCCCGACCCAGCCGGACCAACTGGTTGGCCAAACTAGGAAGTGAAAACCTCTTTTTCGCCTAGGAAGATTCTAGTTAAGCCCCTAATTACGTGTGCAATAAGAAAAATTAAGAGGGGCTTTGGGAAAAAAATTAGAATGTGTTTCAAAGGAAAATTTTGAATGTGTTTGGGGGTATTTTATTAGAGTTAAGGTTTTTTTCCTGTTTTGATTCTTGCAATTTTCTTATTGTCTTCTTGTTCCTAGCGGCATCTAGGATTTGTGGAGAGTCGATCTACCTCTCAAATTGTAGATCAATCATTGTATCTTTTTTGTTCGCTAGGAAAATAATCAAATTAGCCCCAATTTAGGTTTACCCAAATATTTCTTGCAATTTATTCGCTGATTTTCGTTATGATTAGTATCAGATTATTTTAGCCTCTATTAAGAGAATCTAGAACTAAATTGATATTTTTATAGACTTTGGGACTAAAATGTACCCTCATAAAGAGTGAAGGGACCATTTTGACACTTTTATCCACAATGGATATTCTCCTAGCTAGAATTTATTTTTAAGCGGCACATGACGAATCAGCCAGCAATAACTCGATTCAAGAATGAGAAAGTGTGACTGACAATTAACTGAAGTTCTGAACCAAAATATATCCTATAGATTAATATAATGGAGGAGACAATTGCATGTTGAAGATATTCACCCAATCAAGTACATCAACTGCATTCCCATTCAGCAGCTTATGGGTCTCCTCCTTCGATTTGTCTTGTTTCTCTTTAGCAACTGCTGGAAGCAATGGTTGGCTTCCATTAGTACGGTCAGGCATTTCTGTAATTATACAAATTTAATTACACTGACAACTAGGTCCAGAATCCAGGAGAGCAGCAAAAGAAGAACACAAGGCAAAACCTGTTAATTTTGTCTCCATAAAATACACCACCAAGCTTGTAGTATACCTAGCATGGAAGCAATTTAACAAAGTTAAATGACTCGAAAACATTTCAATGTAAAAATATTGCAACGAATTTTATGACTAATTAACTAACCATGCAACCACAACATCAACACTGTAATGCTTCCGCGAAGCTATTATAAGAAGACTTTGTATGACTGCCATCAACCATGTAAGCATTTTAAGAAACCTACGATAACACAAGAAATATTCAAAACATAAACGAAACAGTAGATGCACACAAGTCATTGGGGTTAGACCATGTCTATAAAGAGTAAAAAGCAAGGGGGTAGAAATAACCAATAAATGACAAAGCCCAATAGTACTACAAAGACCAAATCAAATAGTTTAGCACGGTTATACCTTTTAGAACCATACTTATAGTATGTGAGAACAAAAACCAGTGTAAATATCATATGTGATGAAAAAATCAAATCGCCGCAGCCATATAAGACCCCTCGTACTGCAAATAAAAGCAACAATAAATGTCCAATGAACGATGAGCTCCCATGCTTAATAGAAACAGATTGAAAACTGATGGCATACCATTAATGAGAAACAGATCTAATAGTCTTTCAGGTGTAAGAGTGGCATACTTTGAACCCTGCACTTCATATAAAGATTCTATTTGAAAGGTATATTAGCATAAAAAAATATTTTCTTTTATGTTTCATATTCAATTTACTGATATAAATTAGGTAAGTTAGAAGCCAAACTGAATAAATCCTATGATCATTTGACTGGCTCATTTGTCAATAGCCAGAAATTCTATAGCAAGTTGTTGCAAAACTATTGCCATGTCAATCAGTAAATGAGTTCGCAAAAATATTTGGCAATCTAACAATTTCTCCGTATATTATTACCTCGCGGCAATGATAGTTTGGACCTGGAAGATGCGTAGAGTAGAATGTGATAATTCTCAAAGCCTGGCAAGTCTGCAGGAATAATCTCCATCTGTAAGAAACAAAGTACATGATGGCAATATAATAGATGAACTATGTTAATTTGAACTTACAACTAAAATTGCCAACACTCTACGCCATAGAAGAACTGTGTAGAAGCGTTTGCTATGATAAATGAAAGGATAAAAAGTCCACTGCAACCACAGGCAGACAACTCATTTAATACCCTTCATATTCACAAGCACACAGTCATATAAAAACTGGAAACTTATGCAACTGTGTGTGTTATATGCCTGTGAAAATATTGAATCGACATAAAAATCCTAAACATGTGATATCCATACTGGACATTAAGTACTAAAATCATCACAAAAAAAGTCCTTAACGAGAGCAAAATTTGAGATAAGATGCTACAAAACTTCAAATTACTTCGTTGATGGAAATAAAAAAAAGGAAACAAAAGGAATTAACCTGAGCAAATGATGTGCATAAATAGCAGGCAACCCAAATATAATTAATATATGGCATTACCAACACAAAAAATCATGGACAGTTTTAACAAGGTTAATTGATTTGCAAAATAAGTTAATATCAGCAAGGGATCCTTGCAGTGAAGATAGCCAAGAATATTGTTGGATCCTGATTTGTTTTGTGCATCCATACCACCAACGAAAGATCTGAAACAATGCTTCGAGCTAAGAAATTTGAAAAATAAAAGACAAAAAATGAGCTTTTTCTAATATTTGGGGATCCTCTCTTGAAATTACAATGGTCAACTCTATTTATGCTCATGCATTATAAATCAAGTACTCACTACACTCGGATCCCAAGAGATCCTCGATCTATCTCCATGCTCTTCTTGTGACATGAGCATTATATTTGATATTATCCTCATCCCCCTCCATTTGAACTGTTCCTTATAAATCTCTTTCCTATGTAGCTTGTTAGTGATGCCTCTATCACTCAATTCAGCCATAGAGTGAGTTGATCTTCCCAGGCGAATAGATCTCATGAACAGTTCTGCCAGCTCAGTCCATGGTGCGATTGGACTTCCTCAGAGAGTTATCGAGTTGGCTTAGTCGGATTGAATATCTATGGGCAGATCACCATAAATGAGCTATTGGCCATAACTTCTTGATTGACTTGATCAATCAGTTCAACTGTTATGGCCAAACTATTTAGCCAGCTCGTGACTTAGGTTCCTTATATCTCGTACACGCTATAAAATTTCAGCCATTCAAATATGATTTTGGCCATTATTTAAATAGATATATTAGAAAAATTTTATGGCCGGTAACCTGATGAGAGTTGAAAGGTTTTGAAAGGCAAACTTGAGCAAGCAGTTAATCTGCCTTCTACCGAATGATGCAATAAAGTAGCTAAAAACAAAAGAAAATTGCAATTTTATTAATCACTGAACACTGGACAGTAATAAAGACAAGAACCTGAATCATTAACCGATTTTTAAGTGAATCCAATATGCCTATGCAAATGCAAACATGCACTTCAAAATATTAGTAGTTATGATTTCATTGGAAATATTCTAACAGTTTCAATAATACTAAGGTCCTGGTTTCTACTTTAAGTTTTTCACAAAAAACATGAAAGATAAAAGAACCATATTGTAATTAATATGATGTCAGCATTTATGTTGGTATAATTTTTCAGTGCCGGCACATTTTCTATACTTCTTTTAATTTGAAGTAAATAGATCATGAGCACAGGAAAGCCCAGGAGGAAACAGTAGCACAAACCAAACTTAACCTGTAGAATGGGTAAGCAGAAAGCAATGCAGGTAGACTAAACAAAAGAGGGCACTGAAAAGTGACAACAAATCCAAGACCAGAAGTCACAAATTTAATTATTAGAAAGAAAAACTCATAGTTTAGTAGAAAAACAGAAAATAGCGTGTAGTTTAGAAAAGAATGCTTACCAATACAAAGGAGAAAAAGATGACGGAGAAAAAGGTTTCACTAACATATGCTTTGTTTGGCCCTAGCTCCTAAAACAACATGGCCCAGCAAAAAAACATCATCCAAATTGACCCAAAAAATAAATAAAGCATTAAAATATGCATCAAGGAATTACACACCGGAAGCAGACTGAAACCAAGGTCTGGTAGAATAGGTCTTGGTCGATGTAAATAATGAATTCCATGAGCAGCAACCCCATGAATATACTGCAGTCATGTAAAATTTATAGTTAAAATGTCTAGAAAATGCATAACATTGTAAATAAACAAAAAGCTTAAATAAGAATTGAAAATAACAATGCATAAAGTTTACATTAAAACAGAAAGATTAATTTCAATAAACGTTAATTATTGGTGAATATGATGACGTTAAATTGTAAGCGATGGTGAAATATTTCCAAAATGATGGTAATCTTTGAATTTCCTTAAGCAGAGTTTAAGTTTTCCTTTAAGTTACATAGATGTCCGCTAGCCTCGGCTTCTTATTCAGCACTAATAACCTTTCAACCCATCTTGGCAGCTAATTGCCACTTGTTAAGGTATCCAAGGCTATGCTCAACCTTACAACAAATATAACAACAACAACAACAACAACAAGCCATTATCCCACTAAGTGGGGTCGGCTGCATGATTCCTTTTTCTCCATTTCATGCTATTGGGCGTCATATTTCATTTAATTCTAATAGATTAAGATCATTTTTTATAGAATATGTCCAAGTCTTTTTATGTTTACCTCTGCCTTTCTTAACAAAAGTCGATGCTAAAACATCTAATCTCCTAACCTAATCATCAGATGATCTACATTTAATGTGATCAAATCATTTAAGATGGTTCTCTCTAAGCTACTAACCCTATCATGGATATATTCAGTTCGCATTTTGTCTCTAAGTTTCAAGCCACACATCCACCTAGCCACACATCCACCTGCATCACTTAACTTTGTTTTGTACTTCTCTTTGAAAGGCCAACATTCTGCGCCATAGAGAACTGCAGGTCTCACCACCATCATATTAAATTTTCCTTTAGCCTATGTGGTACTTTTCTATCACATAATAGGCCAAATGCATTCTTGCAATTCAACCAGCCAACTTGAATTCTACTAATAACATCCCATCTATATCACCATCATTTTGAACAATAGACCTAAGATATATAACATGTTCACACCTTTTAACGATTTGATCGCCTATAGTTACAACTCTGCTACAAGAGCTACTACTACTAAAATTACATTTCATGTTTCATTTTCATGTATTCAATTTTAAATCTACTCAAACGAAGGTCTTTAGACTCCAATATAAACCTTTATAATTCAATGTTTTCTTGAACTCGTGCTCCATTTATATCCATAAGAAGGATATCATCAGTGAAAAGTATACACACCAAGGTACAGCCTCCTGTAAATGTTCAATAAGAGCATCCATAACTAAAGCAAAAAAATATGGGCATAATGTCAATCCCTGATGTAATCCAACTGAAATAGGAGAATATTAGGTTAATTCTCCTTTTGTTCTAACACAAGTAAATGCTCTAGTATATATATCGTTAATGACTTGAATATAAGTCATATCAACACCTTTCTTCACTAGAACTCTCCACAAGACTTCTCTTGGAACCTTATCATATTATTTTTTTAAATCAATATAAATTATATGTAGAACCTCCTCACTCGCTCTATACTTCTTCATCAAACCTCTCAATAAATATATAGCTTCTATAAGAGACCTAACAGACATATATGCAAACTGATTAAGAGAAATCATTGTATCATGTCTTAACTTATATTCAATTACCCTCTCCCAAAATTCTAAAGTATGACACATCAGCTTAATTCCTCCATAATTTGCACATCCTTGTGCATCACCTTTTTTCTTAAAAATAGGCAACAAAATACATTTTCTCCACTCCTCAGGCATCTTATTAATTTTTAAAATAATATTAAAAGTTTAGTAAGCCAAAAAACTCCCAAACCTCCTAAATATTTCTACACTTCAATTAAGATATCATCAGGTCCTAATGATTTTCCACCATTGGTTTTCTTTAAAACAACAAATAGTTAAAAAAAATAAATATTTCCACACTTCAATTAAGATATCATCAGGTCCTAATAATTTTCCACCATTGGTTTTCTTTAAAACAACAATAGTTAAGAAAAACGTTTTGGTGTAGAAATATCAAGTGTTGACTCCATTCCATAAGCATAAGCTTCAGATTTAAATTGGGCTTAACCACTAGTATATCTACCCCAGCATCAGTCTCCCATTGGTACACTCCCTAACAAGTGGTATCAAATGAGATGCTTCAACTAGGATGGCATATTTCAAAGATTTAAGGTACCCATGAGTCCTACTTATTTTCGATAAGTGTTGAACAAAATTTAAGAACATATCTTAAACGATGGATCCTAGTGATTGAATCATTTTAGGGTATATGATACATGACGATGCTTTCGTTTGACAAGCAATGCAGAGTTCTCCCATGTAAAGGGAAGTTTGCTAAGGGAAACTTTGAGTTCCATACCACAATAAATAGCTAAAAATAGCTTTGTGTAGAAATATCAAATGGTTGGCCTGCAAAAGTGTCGTTAAGTGGTATTTTTCTTTTTTTTTATTCTATTATTATATTTTTTTGTGATATATGTTATTTATTTTTGCGTTATACAAACAACATATCTTTTGGAGGAGAAATGTAGGAACTGGCCAAGCACCACAACATACAACTTGTAGTGTCGTGACACTTGAACGTTAGCGCCACGGTGGTAGTGGAGCAAGGCCTCGTGGTCCGAAGTGAAAATTTTGGTAGCAGAAACCCGAGAGAAAGACATTACAACAACGAAGCAAGCGTCCTAGCGACCAAACTAGCAGTGTCTTGATGCTCAGAAGTTACCCATACCCCATTTTAGAACCTGAGAGCTAGAAATATAACATCTGAATGCAAAAGCCCAGCGCCCAATTAGAGCACAACACCACGATGCTTGTAGCTGACATTGGATAGTCTCCACATGATGTTGGCAATTATTTAGACATGACTCCAAAAATACTTTATATAAAGTTCATTTCAGATAAGTGGAGAGGATAAGAAAACACACTTGGATAGCCTTGAGAACCATTTACTATCTTAGTAAAAACATGTACTTTTCTAAGACCACTTATGTGTATATTTATGATTCTTGAGAGGAATGTGCTTATAATGAGAAAGATTTGACAGAAAAGCAAGAAAAAGTGTTTATGAAGGGAGATTGGCTTAGAGAAAGAAGAACTAATGTGTGATGCGAGTGATTCTACAATAAAAGTTTTCCTTAAATAAAAAATGGATAAGACTTTTCATGTCATTTACTATGTTTTTCAAACTCACAAGAGTCCCAATTATTTTACCTTAGAAGTCAAGATACTTGAACTAAGACATGTAATCATCAAAACAGTTCAAAACAACCGCAGAGGACCCAAACCTTCACTTGACAACTTTCTTAGAACTGTATGCCACATTCAAGTATAATGTTGTCCCCAACAATGTGGTTAGAGTAAAAATTATTCTCTTTATTACAAAGGAATAAAGACAAGATGTGGTTAAACTCTTTAGCGCCAAGATCAATCACCACTTGAACTAACTTAGATAAAAAATTTACGATCAAATAATTTTTTCCATCCAAGTTTACTAAAATTAGAACGGATGCCTAGTTATGTGAAATTTGTGGAAGAGATTGATAAAAATAAGAGAAAAATCTAAGATATTGAAACTATTATGTTAGCTGAGGTAAGCAGCGCGGTCCTGCAGAAGATATTACCACTAAAACTTAAGGGCCCAAGGAGCTTTACCATTTCATTTGCATTAAAAAATTTACGAGTAAGCACTCTATGACTTAGCAGTAGGTATCAACCTCAAATCTCTGTCAATTTTCAATAGACTAGGATTACGAGAGGTCCAGCCTACCATAGTGACCCTACAATTAGTTGACTAATCTTTGACCCATCATATGGAGTGAGAGAATGTGTTTGTGAATGATGATAAGTTTATCTTCTCTATTGATTTAATTGTTGTAGACATGAAAGAGAATAAAGAAATCTCCATCTTACTTGGCAGACCATTTTTAGCCACAGGAAGAGCTACGATTGATGTGCAGAAAAGGAAACTTATAATGAGAGTTAATGATCAATAGGTGACTTTTGACATTATGAAATCGATAAAGTCCCCCTAATACCCCAGCGATGATTCCTGAAAGTTGAACCTAGTAGAGCACCATGTGGTTGAGGATTGTAGTGAAAGCACTGAAAAAGAATTTGCTCTACTTCTAGAGGAGACTCCTAGAGTTGTTAGGGATAGGGTTGAGCTATTGGATCCTACTACCCACACCCAACTTGTGATTCCATCCATAGAGGAAGCTCCGGAGATAGAAGTGAAAATTCCCCTTAAGCAGCCCCAGTATGCCTTTGTTGGAGAAGCCTGAGTTGTGCCCATCATAATGTATGTCGAGTTGCGTGACTTACAAGAAACAACTATATATTGGATCTAGAGATAGTTTTAAATTTTACAATCCAATTCAACCCCCTATATACCATTCAGAAAAGTGTTGTAGAATTGAGAAAAAGAGATAATAGAAAGCTCTGAACAAGAGTATTGGATTTAAAGAGGACTCCAAGAAGAACAAATTATTGAGAGATTGATTACGAATTACGAAAGAGGCAGTTTGCTCTTAGGAAAAAGTTTTATATTTGATTTTGTCTGGCTGAGAATATGAAAGCAGGCACTACTTGGGAGACAACCCAAGATTGATTTGAGTTTGTTTGTGTGCTTTGATTCGAGTTTGATTTGAATTTGCATGTTGTGTGTTTTTGAATTGAAGTTTGTGATTTTAGGTGCATTTTCAGATTTAGGTACCCTCCTCATTCGATTCAGTATGACATACACACTTTTGTTCTTAATGAGATTTTGTTAATCACTCGATTAGACCTCAAATGATTTTATTTAGATGTGATGTGTTTAATGCACTGAATGTTACATTTTATGTGATGTTAGATTTCTTGCTATGACATGCTAGATTCTTTATCTTTCTTGCAATTTTCCATAAATCATGAATAGAATAGAGAAAAAGTTTGGGGGGAGGGGGAAGTTATACATGTGTACTTGCCTGAAAGTAACTGACACACCTAAGCTGTAAAGTTTACTCACGAGTATTGACTCATGATAGGATTCTTGGTGATTTGATAAGGTTATGTAATGCTTTCTTAAGAATTAAGAATATCAATAAAAGGAGAGGATTAGGATTAATGCCCTAATAATTTATTCGTCTACTTTAAATATTTCTACTTGAATCTTAAAATGTCCCAAAACAGTTAAAAATTTATAATTGAAAATATAAGTCATTAAAAGGAGAAAATTATGCATTTAAACATTTCGCTCAGCCAACCTATTTGAACTTTAATTTTTTAATGGATTAATATTTAGAGATTCATATTAAGAAGTAATTGAAAATTATCAATTAGGAAGATCATTAAAAATTTTATGTTTAATCAAATAAAATAATTTTTAGTGAAATTAAAATTATTTTTTAGCTAAAACAAAAAAATAAAAGAAAAAATGTGTAAGGCAGTGATTTAGAAGAAACAAAAAAAAAAGTGGTTAATTATTAAGAAGAAGCTTGAGATTAAGCATAAAAATAAAGAATGGGCGTCTAGATCCTTTTATAATTAATAAAACTTCAAAACATTCTTAATGGAATTTTTAAATATAATATTAGAAAGTAAAATGATTTTGAGTTGTTTGACTAATAATTAATTGATTTTAAAATATTTCTAAATAGTGAAAATATTTTTAATCACACTGAATTAAGTGTTTTGTGATCTACTTAGGCTCATAAAATGCGAATTAAGGAAAGAAGGGGTTATTATATATTAATGAAAATTTAACTCTGAAAAAAGATATTTGCACATCTTTTATTACCAACTATATAACCACGTCAAAAAATTATGAAGTCTGACATAAGTTTAATTCTACATGTGAGATTACTTGAGGGTCAATAATATGTAAGCTTGGGAGAATTGATGTAAATCAAATTCATAATATTTTTTTATAAGGCTCATGGTTTATTTCCATATTATGATGATTTCATATTCGTGGAAGATATTTTTTCTCTGTTCTGCAAGTTACAGGTGTGAGCATACGCCAGGAAGCCAAAATATGAAGTTGGATCAATTATAAGGACTGGTGTACCTATGCAATCCCATGATATAACTATGTCATTTTGCAGCAAAATTACGCCAGTCTTTTGCATATTTGCCAGTTTACGGCATAATTATGTCAGGCAACCGGTGGATGAGGCATAACTACACAAGTTTGCTAAGGAGACTTAGGAGGAGATTTACAGGAAAACCTAGTTATTTGGAAGCAGCTTTTCTTTGTTTTTTGGGAGTTGTGAGTGTGCCCTTGGGTTTTCTCTATTGATTTTTCTTTGGAGAAGATTTCTAGGTTTATTCTCTTTGAGAATTTTGGAGAGTTTTGAGAGAGAGAGATTTATGTGCACTTGTATAAGGGAGATCACTAGAGAGCTTGCATTATACATAGAGGATGGCGGTGTGCGTATTCCAAGGAGAGATTGGGTTGGGTTTAAGTTTTTGTATCTTCTTACATTGTTTTCTTTAATAGTTTCAATAAAAAATTGTGTTTTATTTCCTCATTCATAATAGTTAAATCTTTTTCATAACCTTGTGATGTAATACATGTGAATTTTTCATTATTTTATATGTTAATTTTTTTGCAGATATTTTTCTATCCATTGATTTAGATGTATTACAGACATTGCAGACATTTTGTAAATTACGATCAATGTCTATTTTATATGTTAATTTTTTTGCAGATATTTTTCTATGTTCTGGATGTCATGTTACATGTGTTAACCATTGATCGTAATTTACTTCTAATCTAGCTAATTAGAAAGGTAAAACATTTTGTAATCTAGATCTTTTAACCGTTGACTGGAAGACAATTAGATCAACACAGATTCATATAATACACAGATTCATATAATAAAATAGACATATTGTCAGTAGAAAAGTCCAATCTAAATAGGGGAATAGGAGATTCCTAGAAAGCCTTGTATGGTTAAGTCCCCTTAACGGTAATACGGGTTTCCAACACTTCTTATTCCATTGATTTAGGCAAAGGAAAACTTATCCCTGCAACGTGGGGAACTTAAAGAAAAAATATCGATGATTCACTAAACAAGCATCAAAGGAGTATGAACCTTTTACATATATAAAACTTCAATGCAACATAGATTTATTTTATGATTCCTGCATTAGGATTTTAGAGCATTTTTTTTTTTTGCAAATATAAATCATTCAAACTAGACTTTTTTTTACAAAGGATCACATCATTCAAACTAGACTTAATGGTGTAGTAAACTAGAATTTTGTCTTATGGAAAAGTTGATAAGTTTCATCATGGGATCTATATGCAGACTCTAATTTTGTATATTACTTTATCGATGCATAGACTTATGTGATTGACCGATTGCTTCGTAGCAATTTTAGGCATCTAGCGCATGCCACCTATACACGCATTTTTTTTTGTGGCGGCCAAACACATTCTGGCTTAAGTACCTCCCGATCAAGGGAGGTGACGACGGAATACCACTGAAATTTAAACTAAATGACCTCTATTAAGAAGAGCTTAAGAGAATTTTGTTAAATATAAAAATAATTAAAATGAAAAGATAACAGTTAAAAGAAATTGAATACTTAAAATATAAGCAAACAAATATGAGCAATGATGACTCGATGGCTCGTCATCGAGCTCGAATGAAACTCGTAGTCAACTCAATAGCTCACTTATAAATGCAAATAGAGTTTTGTTGGCTAATCACAATTTTTTGAGCAATGCACTATATCTTCCCTCCACAACTGCTTGTTTGGGTGGAAAAATTTAACGTTGACTTGAGCACACAAAAAGTCAATGCTATATCAAATATACTATTAAATTCATATTCAAAATAATTTTATGTCAATAAGGATGTGACTCGAATCCTTTTTTTACATGTTTGACTAGTATGCTCCACAAAGAAAAAATTACGACCAAAACCCTCAGGCTTAGGTAGTTGGCCAGTATGCACCATTTTAAAATGATCATGGTTGCAGCCCATATCTTTTCCAATGCATCTAAATGGCAATGGGAGGGCCTACGGGCAATGGCGACGATTGACTGGCAGTGCGCAGTGGTCGGCCAACGACATGCGGGGTTGGGGATTGGGGTGGTGAGCTATAGGGGTTAGCGGTGCAAACAACGCTTTTCACAAAGGTGTATTTGGAATTCGCCCAACTCCAGAGAATTCCAAATAAATTGAAAATGAACTAGAGAATAAATTCCAATTACATTATAATTATATAGTGTATTTGAAATTCATCTAACCAAATATCAAATTTCTGAAACTTGTCCTTTTGCAACTGTTTGCGAAGTTTTATAATCACAAGTAACACTGCACAGCTAATGCCATGGCTAGGATTAAGAACTTTGAAAGAGATGCACATAAATTGTAGGTTATCCGTTGCACGTTTTTTCCACAAACCAGACAGTGATATGCCATACATTTCAGAAACAAAGCAGCAAAAAACTAACAAACAAAGCATGCCTCCCCACCAGTAAGCCAACTCAATATGATAAAACTTGATCACAGCTAATGCCATCAGAGAAGATAAAAAACATGATCATTGCTTTTTCTCTGTTTTGTCTATAAACATGATGAAACTATGAGAAGCCAAATCCTCTGTTTTTGCCCAGATTGTGGTTCTCATCAAAAAGCAAATTCAGCACAAAAACGTTAACATCAAGAAAAAATTGCATAGCAAATACCACTATAACACTAGCGCATGCATTCATCAACAACTCAAACACACACACACACACACACACACACACATATATATATATATATATATATATGAAGTAGTCCTTGGACAAAAATTTCCTCAGTTCCTTCGTATGTGTTCAGAAAGTACAAATAATACCAGAAAACATACCTGAAAAATAAGCCCCGCTAGCAGAAGCTTCCAATTCTCAAGAAAAAGCTGCATTTCCACACATGTTTCCGTTGCAATTTTCCTCCATAACTGCGAAAACACCATAATCACCTCCCAATATCCCATGTACCGGATCACATCACACATCCATCATCAAGGAAGAAGACATACCCTCACAGCCTCTCGCCCAATGCAAAGCGTCATCTTAATCAGCAAAAACACACAGTTCTATAGAACTCAGCATCCAGCGAAGAATCCCGCCAGCATTATCTTCTTCCTGTTTCTCCCCCTATAATGCGCGAAGCAAGGTTAGGTTCAACGGCTTCCAGTTCCTTCTTTTTGCTTAACAAGACAGGCGTAAGATATTTCCCACCGTCGGAATCCTTGAACGAATTAATCTACTGAATTCGTTATTAATACTTTAGATGAAGCGTCTTCAAAAGAAAGTAAAAAAGAAAAAAAAAAGAGGGAAGGAATTGGAGGAAAACTCAGGAATCGAGGGCCAGACCAAGGCCTCCTGTGTGAAAGACTTCGCGCTAGCTTTGAGACTGCCTCCTCCGGAATGAAAACGGCGTAAATGAAGAGGCGAGGAGGAGGCCGGTGGCGAGGGAGAAAGAGGAGGTTGTAGGCTACCAGTGTTCAATGCCGGGAAATATATATATATATATATATATATATAATGTGGGGTTTCGTTGGTAATGTATTACGGATCCATTCTGCTGGAGTCACGTCACAAGCACATCAGGGCCGTCCATTCATTGGTGTGGTAATGGCTTTTATAAAATTAAATTATAAATGACTGCATAAGTTTTTAAAATACAAATAAAAATTATTATATCCCTTATCTATAATTTAGGGTATAGAATGAGTTGAAAGCAAAAAATGTTGGGATGACGAAAATGACTATAAAGTAAATTGGGGCATTAATGAGATGGATAGGATTAGGATAATAGTAATGCTATTGAGGGCGAAAGAATGGGTGCAACAAGATTGGTGAAAGTGATGATGGATCGGTTGTTGTGACAACATCATGTGGGGTTGAGGATATCATGGGATATGGCCAATGAAAGGTGAAGGTGAAGATATCATGGGATGTGGGCACTAGATGGTGATGGTGGGATAGTTGGTCATAGAGAAACAAAGAATTTTTGTTTATGCTCATTATATCTCTATAATTATTGTTAGTTTTTAGAATGCATGTGAAATACGGGATGATTGAGAGAAGGGGCAAATTTTTCCATTATAGGTATTTTTTTCACATAAATGATAATGTAAAAGATACATGTCATGATGAACTACCTCCTAGGAAAGATGATGTTGATGATAATTATAACTTAATAGAACCCTCATACGATAATGGAGAGTCAAATCAAGTTGAAATATATGGCCCCACAAATTGGAAGCTTATATTGTTCTTAAGAATGATCTCGTAGGATCCCTATAGAAGAAATAGGAGGGGTTCACTTTGGGATTGGATAGGCTCCTCCCTCATAGTGTTAACAAGCAATCAACTTAGAAAAAAGTCAACAACCTGATAATTCTTGAACTAATAACCCTTATATCAATCAGAATAAATAAAAAGTAGAGACCTAAACTACTCTCTTTAAAGAGTATTATAATGTCCTAGCTCAACTAAGAAATTTGCCTAAATTGTTGATTACTTATTATGTGTTGATGTTTATGCTTTGTTAAACTCTAGTCAAGCCTTTACTTGAACTAAAGTACTCAAGGCTCTTTTTATTGAGAAATTTTTGAAAAAGATTGCTTTTTATGTGATGGTTTTGACTATTAATTTCTTGATGACGGTCTTCTATTATGAAAAATTAATATGTCACAAGGTGCTAATGGAGAAAGGAGAGGACCAACTATGAAGGGTTGAAGCAAGAAGAATGATGTATATAAGCAAGGGCGCAAAACAAGAAGCAAGATGAATAAATTTACTCATAAATACTTGCTTAGAAATTATAGTTCAGATGTTTGCATAATTGTTATATGATCTCTACCCGCTTGGGTGGTCTATCCTAGTGCTTATGGACAAACTATTTTAAATCTTAAATAGGTATATAGATTTTTAAAATTTGAGTTTAACAACAATGAAACACTGCACACTAGGATTTTAACGTAGTTATACATATCGTTCAAGTAATATCAGATTATTGAGTTCGGATTATTGATCCCACGGGAAAGTGTGATTTTACACCTAAGAAAAGTTCTAGTCCTATCAAGTTATTTTATGGAGATTCATTTCACAAAAATAATATATTGTTTTAAGTATCATTTTTATGTCTATTTTTTGTGATATTGCACTTTAAAGAAAGATATTTTTGTGTTTTTGTTGCAGGTATACCTTTTTTAGGCATTTGGAGCAAAAATAAAAAAAATGCAAAATTTGGAGCAAAAATAACCAATTTGGGGGTTTGACGCATGATGCGCCAAAATCCAGAGCATTCGTGCATGATGCACCAGATGGGCACATGATGCACCAAGCGTGACATTTTCAAATTAAGGCTGTTCGAGACGACTTTTGGGCAAACTTTCAAAGGGACACTTATTCTAAGCATCCCATTGAGTGATTCAATGCATGTAGACACTTTGGAAGGTTCCAATTTGAAGTGATTTGACTCTTGGATCAAGAAGGCACATCTTTTGAAATTCATCTTTTGAAATTCAAAGTCTTGGAGGGAATTGAGACTCTTTTCAGAGGTAATTAAGACTTTTTGCAGAGAGGAGAGGCAGCCAACAAAAGGGAACTTCTAAAGGGACTTGGAAAAAAGGGATGAAAATTTTAGAGAGAGAGGATAGGCGTGAGTTAGAGAGAAAAAGGAGGAGATTTTCTTCTAGGGTTGTAAAAGGAGAGAGAAGGTGAGAGATTTCTTTTTCATTACATTTCTATGAGAGAATTGGGAGAGATTGTAAAAAGGGAAAGGCTTGGAGAGAACTTCTAACGATTTGCTTGGGAATGATTGTGAGTTAAGTTGTACTTTTCATTTCTTTTGTTTGTAAACTTGTTTTTATATATGAAATTTGTGTTTTATCGTATCATTCTCATGAATTCTGAGTAGTCTTCTTTATCCTTCTCCCTACTTTGAAGAAATTATTTTGTGAAGAATTGATTTTATTTTCTACAGTTTTAAATGTCAATAATTTATGATGATTTGAACTCCGATCTTCATTTACTTTTCGATTTGGCCAATTGAATTGTTAAAATGTGTTGAGAATGTTATGTTCTGTAAAGGGGATATGATTTCTACAAAAAAGGGAGAATCACATTTGATTTCATGGGAGAGTATTTCATCCAAGGGATTGCGTGCAAATAAATAGGGAAATATACTTTTTTGGATGTACAATTGAAAGATTTTAAGGTGACAGATTAAAATCCCCAAGTTGGTTCAGTTGATTGGAAACTAATGCGAGCATGTTATCCCTCAGGGGAGGGAGTAGTAAGACCTCTAGAGTGACAGCCGGTATCCTCCCCGCCTGAAGCCTAACCATAGAATTAGGGATCAAACTCTGGATTAGTCAATGTTCTTGATAGCTAGAATAGGATTGCTCCTATTTGTCACAAAATAGTTTTTAAATATATTTTTCAAATGATTTCAATTTCTTCACAAGCCATATTTTCATTGTAAAGGGGAAGGATGCTTTCTCATACTTGAACTTTTCGTCCTCAAAAACCTTTATTTTATTTCAACAATTTACTTTTGAAAGTTTAGCATATAGTTTAATTTACTTGTTGTAGGTGTACATCTGCATATTTAGAAGTATTTCACTTAAATAGTTTAATTTTAAATTTTGCACTTTACTTTGTTTTTATTTTTATTTTTTATTTTGTAATAGAATATAATTAGCTAGCTTATATATATTTACAGCTTCCCTGTGGGATCACAATCTATGACTCCATTAAAGCCCTATATCACTTGAACGATACATATACTTGCGTTATATGTAAACAGGTATTGGGATTTTAAAAGAAGTTTTTAAGGATAAATTATTTTCATTAAAATTACATTATAGGTTGGGTTACATTGCATCATTATTATTAAGCTACACAAATTCTCGAGCGGATCAAGTTTTTGGCGCAGTTGCCGGGAAAGTAACAGAAAATATTAGTTAATTTTATTTTAAAATATTATATA